CATCCTTGTGGGATGAAAATCAAACATCAGGACCATGCAAATACGAAGCAGAAGTGTTAATAAAAATACACTTATATTCAGTCAAGTAAAAGCTACCTTGGATGAGAGATGTCAAAAGTGACTGAAATCTGACCAGGGAAATCTTCAGTTAACATTCAATTACACTACATAAATAGAAAAAATGCTGATGGGGTAGGACATACCCTCTATTACTAATGACTATTGTGCTATGATGTGACAAAAAATATGCTATAGTAGGTGAGATTTTGGTTTCTCACAGCAATGGGGTAGCAAGATCTTCTGAAATACCACATCCAGAAGGCAGCCATATTCACACAATTTCTACATTAATCCACTGCCATACAATTAAATACAGAGACTGATAGTGTAGCAGGCCAGGCAAATCTTTGATGCATGCTGCACTTATAAGCAAGAATATATCACTCAGAGTAGTGACTTCCTAAGGACTCACCACAGGTCCAATTCCTGGTAGAAACAAGAATTTTAATTTTCAAAGCCATGCCCACAATCCTGGGACCCACTTGCTTTCCTATACAATAGGAATCAGACATAAAGTGCCCTGCTATAAAGCGTATACTCATCTCTATCTAGTGTCTAGGTCAGTAAGCATGAAGCATTACCTCCATGCCCTCTACAGCCTTTATGTCACAGTGCTCCACTACTGTGGAAAACTTATTTACCTACCAGCATTACCACTGGTCATCAAATGACTCAAAATACCTCTATTCCTATACATAAAGATTTGGACAGGATGTAGAGCCAAATCTGTATGTTTCCAACTTTTTACCAAAGGTGAGTAACAGTCTATATAAGCTTCAGTATCCCCTAACCATTGCATAGTAAGATGAATAGGATCCAAAGATGCTCCGAACATAGTTAAAGAAACATGGTCCAGTCAGAAATCAAATATCAGCCAATTTAATGACTACAATGCATAGCAAAATTACTTAGAAACAAATTAGGAATTGAAGATTTCCGTCTTCTGGGTTGTTGCGCTGTGTAGTCTGGTCGATGTTAACCAATGTTTCAGAGGTCAGAAATCTTCATAGTTTTAATCGCCCTGATGACAGAGGCAGTATGACCTCTGAAACGTTGGTTAACATCAACCAGACTACACAGCGCAACAACCCAGAAGACGGAAATCTTCATACTCACCGCTGTGAAAACCTCAAATCTTACAAAGTAGGAATTGTATGTACATCATAACAATCTTGGTAAGTTCAACAAAATTTTACCTTTGTGACGGTTGGATACATCCGTGACTGGGCTCCACCCAGTTACTTCAGTGAAAAAATATGCACGTAGGTGTTCATGTAAAATGCCTGTTACTGTTGATCAGTTTGAACCAAAATTGGTTTGCGTTGACAAATTTTAGTGAAACTCAGATTTCACAAAAATCCATTCAGTTGTTCTTGAATTGTTGCATACAGACAGAGACGCAAACATGAAGCTAACAGATGCACTTTTGCAACTTTTATTTGTGAATGTGCCTAACCATTGAAAATAGTGTTCACAGATAAATAATTCTGCTCAAAATGTAAATGACTGTCATACCTTCAACACCTGTTCAAGCAATGCCTGCTGCTGATTGGTGGTTATCTTAAGAAGACATAAGAACGACACCACTCGAACTGTCTCTTCACCTGAACCCCACAGTGTCACCAGCCTCTTTAGAAGTGGGCGCCTCAGTCTGGTAAAGTATGGCACAAACATTGCAAGTTGGTGCAAATGTTTTAACAGTACTGCAAGGATTTGTGAAGATGACACATTGCCAAGAAACTGAAAGAAAATATATGAATATAACAAAAAACTCATATTCATTATTCTAACTGCATGAACTTACATTAATAAGTGTCCTCTATTTCACATATTTTATAATACCAAAAAGAAACATCATTAAATGCAAAGATGTCCTTGTTATCTGGGGAAGAGAACCTCATGCCTACTGAGTATGCTAGTTGGTGTGAGAGACAGTCTGATGCATAAACAGAGAAGAGCCCAAACTATGCTGAGAATAAAACCATGATAATACAAACTGTAGCCAGTCACTTTACTGACTGAGCCATCCCAGTTTATAAGAAAATTTATTACAAATAAATTTTATCCAAATTAATCACAGTTAAATGCAATATGACAGGCAGGCAACTTAATTATTCAGTTTGTACAGACAGTGCAAAGTATACAAAAAAAAAATATTAAACCATTTGTGAAGTAGTCTGATTGAAGAGTAAACATTTAAGTGAAGTTTCACTGCAATCTAATTAGCAGTGCACCTGTGATCCTCACCTTGAGGAGATCTGTGAGGTATAAGATGAGGAGTGGTTTCATTTTCTTCCACTTTTTGCACCTAGTTAACTGAACATGCCCCTTCAGAGTGGATGGTAGGTTTAAACAACGCTTGAATGCCGGCTGTATCTCCAGCACACAGAGCTGAACAACTGCATTAAAAACTGCAACAGACAGGGTTACTCTACTATAATGATCACAATACACCCAACATAGGAATATCAACAAATTTTCTACAAAAAACATCACAATACAAGTGTGTAGATGGGATTACCATCACAACCATACATGTGTAGATATTTGCCCACTTATATACCTGTTAATGTCTCTGCTGTAAGTCCCCCTCATTCAGAAAGTTTAAACCCCAGACCCAAATGTGCTGTGTGAAGAGTTACCATGTCATTAGTCCTGAAATTTAAAATCCCACGACTTTCATGATCATAACATCACTGAAAACATTAGTATATCCAGCCAACACATACACCAAATAAAATCCTGGACTTTCATCTCAAAAGCTATGCTAGTTCAAAGAATATTTGCAAGATCAAGCAAAGCAGAAGCTGTAATCTGTTCGCAATATATTTAAAATTCATTCATTTCCACAGTTGTTTACGCAGTAAAAAATCTACAGATCTGGTTGATACATATACCAAACAAAAGCCTGGACATTCATGTTGAAAGCTGTGGGAGTACAATTCACATACGTCAAAGAATTTCCCAGATGGAAGTACAAATCAGATATTATCATCTGCATGCAATGAACTCACTCCTGCAACATATGCAGTCAGTTTAGTGTGCAATGCATGGCATACCATGCTGACGTGGTACAGAAAAAATGTTACGGAAACAGCAAGTCTTCTACAACCGACAAGAAATGTTATCATCTGTATTATATAAAAGCCAGTTTGATGTTTGTATTCACAGCGGGCTAAAAGGTGACAGCAATAATGATAGATGGCATATATAATATTCTGCTATGAAGTGCTGCTGCCATTATGTAGCTTTCAGAAGTACTTCTAACATGGGCAACAAAAAATGTTGAAATAACATAGCATCGCTGGTATTTATTACTGCTGTTCAAAGCTGAACAGGATGA